TCTATGCAGCTGCCAACTTGGTAGCTCCACTTGAATTCCAAATAAGCATTTCAAACCACCATGTTGGCATCTTTCTTCTCCAGTGTTCTTCCATCCAGTAAAGGGCACCTCCATTCACAGAGTTGTTCCAATCGTAAATCTTGAAATTACTCACCTTCCACATCCAACCCCTAAAAAATCCCCTAATTCTACCTTTTCAGTCCAGCCACATCTTACCCTAACCATGCTAGGCCAAGCAGAATTACGATAACTCCTCAGGACCATTTTAAGAGTCCCCCAACTGGTCTTCCAGCTTCCATCTTGTCTTCTTGCTATGTCTTCCAAAGGCTGCTAGAGTGGTCCTTTCTAAATAAAAGTCAGATTCTCACTTCCCTGTTCAAAACCATTACCCTTAGGATAAATTCCAAAGCCCTACAAGGCCTTGAATGATGCTGCCCTTGGCATCTGTGCCCTTCCTCTCCTTCATCATTCTGCAGACACTGTCCTCCTGATGTGTCTTACATATACTAACCTTGCTCTCTTGTTGGGGCTTTGGCTTTTGGTTTTACCACCACCCACAGTGCTCTTCTCCAGTGTAGCTCACACTCACTTCTTTCTCTGCTCAAATTTTACCTGTTAGAGAAGACCTCCTCATCACCTTCTAAGGCTGAATCTGCTACTGTTTTCCTTGGTAGCCTTTTACCCATCCAAATTTTAGTATATATCTCTTTATTTTATGTCTCTGCCTACAACACCTTAAATCTTTAAAGGGAAAGACGTTGTCCTTTCTCACTGCTATACCACCAAAATCAAGGACTATCGTTCATAGTAGTAACACAATAGATATTTGTTGAATGAATTATTTAATGAATGAATTATTTAATGAATGAATGATGCTAAGGAGTATAAGGAGTAGTTTGCAGCACATGGTGAGGTACTCAAGAATATCTGCTAATTTTACTGTGATTATTATAAATCAAGTGGAAATGGACTGTGGCACTGGTGCATGGAAGCTAGTTATTTGTGACACATGCAATTTTCAGAGTTTGCATCAATTTATGGATTTTATATGTTCCTATTACCTCTGCTTTTTATAGGGATAATTAGGCAAAAGTGTGTTGCTTTGAGCTCACGTGTGAGACGTTGTTTATTTGGTTTTTAAGCTGTCCATTTGAATGAGAAATGTTACATTTGCTTCCAAGGAAATTCTCAGGCTGTAGAGACAGGCAGGCCTCAACAGGATGACACAATTTCAGGCCCCATACCATAAGGCAAGGAAAAGATTTCAGGTTTCCTAGGATCACACTTAAATATCAGACATGAACTTCCAGGACACACAGACACCAGAAAGTAAATTTTTCTTTCCCACTCCACATCCCCCCCACCTCACTGACCAACATTAGTCCTCTCCCCAGGAGTGAGAAGTGACTCTCTTTTATCCCCCCATCCATCCCCAGAAGACTCACAGGCAGTGGAGGGCCCATAGGGGCCAGAGGAAGGCAATTTAACATTGAACCTGGTCTTGATTCACATAAGCTAGGTGACCTTAACCAAGCTACTTAAACTCTGTCAGCCTCCATTTCTTCAAGGACGAAACAACATTTCCCTTGAAGGGTAGGGAGGATTGGGATGGATCACCTTGTGAAGTATTTGGCCCAGCTCCACGGCCTCAGATCTGGCTCCCCTGTTCTGCCTGCCATTTATATTCATTCTCAGAGAGCTCTCCCGTGCATTATCCTCTATGACTCTCACCACTCTGTCCTGGTATAATCAGGGCAGGGGTTATTATTCTATTTTGAGACATGGGTAGCCAATTTGTTGAACTATTTGAACATAGTGGGAAGCAAACAGAAAATGATTTAAGTTTTTCTCTGTGATGGTATTTGCTTTGATAAGCCTCCCTGTCCCTGAGTTGCACATCCTTGACAAAAATCTTAGCAGAATCCTGAACTTCTTGGTTACTCTAATGTATTAAAAGTCTAAAATGAGACTATAGTGTCTCCTCCTATTTAATTCATCCTTTCTCCAGTACCAGTCCAGACTTACAGCCTGAAAGACTTGAAGTAAAGAAGGTCTATTTTGCTTCTTTGCTGCTTCCAGATCTTCACCTTGGTTTGGCTTGATCTCAGTGAATGATTGCTTCATAATTTCCTCTCACTTGGCTCTTTCAGAGATGAAAGGCCCTCTTCAAAATAAGTGCAATGCTCTCAAGGACTCATGACCTCACTCCCCCATATCAGGATATGCCAGGTTATGCTACAGAAACAAACAACTCCAGAATAACTAAGGGCCCCTCCTTCTGTCTTTGGCAAGTCTAGTTTCTCTGGTAGGTTTGAGCTGTAGGGCAGAGAAAAAGAGACAAGAGTATCAGGTGAGCCACTGTTTTCGACGTCTCTGTGTAGGTAGTTGAAGCTTCTCTGGTCCTTTCTGGCTGATGATGCCTCATTGCTGACACTGTTGGAACTTTTCTAGAAGGCTTTACAGAGTCTTCCCACTCAGTAGCTCCATGAAGTGGAGAGCTGGTTTCACACAAGCATAACCAACTTCAGGTGGGCAAAGAAGTACCATCCCTTCACATGCTCAGAGGGTGGGAAGAACAGCATTGTGTCCGTTATCTATTACTGTACACAAAGTAGATCAATAGCCTAAGAATGGCCTAAAATACCAGTCAATGCTTTAATCAATGAGTGTGGGGGTTGACAATTTGAGTGAGATTTAGCTGGATAGTTGTGGTCCCAGCTGGACATCCTTATGCCTGCAGGGCAGCAGGGTGGTTCTGTGTCTGGATTCTTCCTGGAGTGATGGGGGCTGGACTAGACCATATGTCTCTCATCATCCTTAAGGCTACTGGAGGTTTGTTTAAATGGCAGTCTGGCAGGTTTCCAAAGGGAGGCCCTAAGCAGGCACAGCATCCTGAGGCTTCAAATTGCTTCTGTCACCTTCTCTTGGTCAAATTCCCCAGACCATCAAGATTAAAGAAGTGGAAAAAGGTCTTCACTTTTATGAGGGGATAGGGAACATACCAGGGATGGAACCCAGGGGCACTCAACCGCTGAGCCACCTCCCAGCCCTATTTGTATTTTATTTAGAGACAGGGTCTCACTGAGTTGCTTAGTGCCTTACTATTGCTGAGGGCAGCTTTGAACTCATGATCCTCCTGCCTCAGCCTCCCAAGCAGCTGGGATTACAGGTGTGCACCCAGGCGCCTGATGGGTCTTCACTTTTAAGGGAGTAGTTGCAAAGCCACATTGCAAAGCAGGGTGGATAGGAGGGTGAAGGGAAGGGAACTGTGGCTTTTTTTTTTTTTTTAGGTTTACTCCAAGCCCTATTGTTCACCACACCTCCCAGGTCTTCTGAGGTAGATGTTTGGGAGTTGGAGGTGGAGGTGCCTGGATTTGGCAATGTCACATCAGATCATCTTATATATCATGAAGGAGAGCCTGACCTCATTTGGTGGAGACCCTTATCAGAATGGAGCCCCATGTTGTCTGCAGCCCTGAGCTATGGATGTTAATTCCAGGCAACAGGACAACTGCCATAGGCATACAGTTATAAAGGAAACTACCTCTAAGGTGAAGTGACCGGTTGGAATTTATGCAGCTAGTACTGGTTCGTTTCTTTTCCCTGAAGGGAAGCGAGGCTGAGGATGAAAAGCATAGTGAATATGAGAGACTTGGAAAAGGCCGGTGTCTGGGATGAACAGAACAGGTGCTGGGCTGCTGTTACCAGGTCCAGATCGACCAGTCCCTAGAGCCCAAGGCCAGGAGATTTCCTTAAACCTAAGGAAAAGGAAATGTCTTGAAGGATTTTAAACAGAGTCTCACACATTCACATCGATGTTTCCAAAAGATCCCTCCAGCCTTGATGAGAAGACTGGATTAGAAGGCAGTAATGGGGGCTGGGTTAGAACTGCAGCCTCCGCTCAAACCCAGAAAGACAGGCAGAAGCTACTACTTTTTCTAAATCCATGTTGGTGCCTCCTCATAAATCCCAAAGGCAAAGGGGAAATGATCTAGTTTGGCATGGACAAAACAAGGGACAAGGCCGGGTACTGTGGCGCACACTTGGAATCCCAGCAGCTCAGGAGGCTGAGACAGGAGAATTGTGAGTTCAAAGCCAGCCTCAGCAAAAGTGAGGTGCTGAGCAACTCAGGGAGAGAGACCCTGTCTCTAAATAAAATATAAAATAGGGCTGGGGGATGTGGCTCAGTGGCTAAGTGCCCCTGAGTTCAATCCCCAGTACCCACCTACCCCCCCCCACCAAAAAAAATACAAGGGACAGTGCCATAGGAAGGACAAAGAAAGCCAAATGTGTAATAGAAACACTATGTCAAATATGTGCACACACGCACACACACAGACACACAGAGGCTACTTATCCACATGTTCCAGATCCAAGCGAACTTGCAAGTTTCTGGTTTGTGTTCTGTGGATAATTTAGCCAGATTGATGTCAAGTCAGAGAGTGGCCTCTCCTGCTTGGCAGTGTGCAAAGACAAGCAGCTGCTAAGTGATCCTAAGAGAGGAAAGCCAGCATTGCGCACAGCCTTGGAGCCCTTGAATTGATACATCATTTCCAGTTGATTCAAATTCAAAAGCAAATGGTATTGCCGGTAGGGACATAGCTTAGTGGTAGAGCCCCTGCCCTGCCATCGTCAGGCCCTGGGTTCAATCTCTAACTCTGAAAGAATAAAAAAGAGCAAATGATGACAAAAGCCCATTTTGGCAGAGCCCTTGTGACTGCAGGTTGGTGGAATTTAAGGAAGCAGGGAAGGAAAGGCAGAGAGGCTCAACAGTGCCTTTTCCTGCCCTGTTGGCTTGGGGACAAGGGAAGGGGACGTTGCTGAATTCCAACCTCACTGGGCACTGACATCATCCTCACCCACACAAGGACACATAGGCGCCTCCCCGGGGGACTGTGGGTGTCAGCGGAACCGTTCTGTGCATGGAGCTGACCTCTGCACCCCCAGCATGAGTCTGCATGATAGATCGTAAGAGAGACTGTTCTGTCATTGCATTGCAGCTCCAGAAACTAAAACGATCACTTTCTTTCAAGACCAAGAGTTTACGGAGCAAAAGTGCTGACAACTTCTTCCAGCGGACCAACAGCGACGCGAAGCTGCAAGCGGACATGCAGGCCGAGGTCAGCCCCAGCTCCAGCCCCCTGCCTGCTCCGGGAAGCCTGGCGTCCACGCCCACCAGGGCTGGCCTGCACCCAGGCAGCGGCAAGGCTCATGCCTTTCAGGAACACATTTTCAAGAAGCCCACTTTCTGCGACGTCTGCAACCACATGATAGTGGGTAAGGCTTTCCCCTGCCCCTTCCTCCAGATCCAGCACCCCCTGGAAAGCTGAGAGAAAGTGGGCGACCATGGGTCCAGGTATCCAGAGATGGACTCTGAGCCTCAGAAATATACAGACAGGATTGTTGAGGCTGCTTTGGAGAACAGTATTTGTGGAGAGGTAAGGGAAGCAGGGCTGGGCAGGGAGAGAAGTTGGGTTGTGCTACAGTTTTAGACCAACTTCAGTTGGTCCTCCAGGGGGCCCTAAAACCCCTTAGGGTTATCCCCCAGTGAGTCTTTGTACATCTATATCATCCCAACATTGCATATGGGCAATAAGTGAGACTTGGAATGTGTGTTTCCCAAAGAGGCCAATGTCTGCCATCACTGAGACTGGACATATGGATGACTTCCGGTATGGCCAAGAACACAGAATTCTGCAATTCCCTTCACCCTTTGCCAAGGCCCAGTTAAGGAGTGGGATATTCCAATCGGGAGCCATTTTAGTTCCTATTAGAATCAAACACATCAGGCCAGTCCTCATTTTTAGGAAAGTATTATCTACCCACACTTTCACTTTCTAGTAGCAGTACTCACGTTCTTCCTTCAAACAAGCCATGTTTAGAAGTAGTGCTTATATCAGTCCAGGATTCCCACCATGGTGTTGCTTAATAACTACCCTTAAACTTCAGTACTTAAAACAGAGGCAGCATTTCCTCTCACTTGGGCATCTTCAGAACAGCTAGAGATTGGCTGATCCAGGCTCCACTCATTTATTGCATGTCCTTGAACCAATGGCCCAGCCTCGCCATGTTCTTCTGGCAAGAATGGGTAGAAGAACTCAAAGCTTCTTCAGGCCTTGGGCTTCTGATGGCATTTCTTGAGTTCAGGGTGAGTTACAAGAGCAAGCCAGAGTCAAGGGATGGAGATGTCTACTCTCCCTCTAGTAGCGGGGACTGTAAGCCACCAGAAGAAGGGCATGAACGCAGGATCAGTTAATCTGAATGACCACTTAGGTGGTCTCTGGATTATAGATCCTTTATCATTTGTTAAATTCAGCCATGTCTTGGAGTTCCTGTGCTCCCACTTCCAACTGGAAGTGGTGGCTGGAGTGTGACAGTCAGCATGGGGTCACTAGTGGTGGTCTCAGCATGCCCCATGCTCAGAATACTTAGGCAATCCAGCCTCCAACCTTAATATTTTTGTGAATGCCTGACTTCTAGTTCTGATGCGCCACTTTCAATTTCCACACGTATTTCCACCAAGCCTTTTCAAGGCAGTGCTATTCATAACCCTTAAATAAGTGATGATGAGCATCTATTTTAAATCTCATTGTGATGAGTGCGAAAAGACAAACGAACATGTGTTTTTAAAAATGAGTCATGGGAATGAGTTCACCTCTCAGGAATGTCACAGTCATTACCCTACAGGGGACTCTAGGTGCACCTCAAGTACCACAAAAATTTTGAAAGACTCTATTCTAAATATCTTTAAAAAAAAAAAAGCCCCATGCTAAAGAGAATGGCACTTTGCTTTTCTCTGATCATAATTAAACTTATATTGCAGCCGCCTTTTTATCTTGAAATGAAAGGAAAAAAATAGTCAACAAGTCACAGTGCTCTTTTCAAAGACAAAATAAAGGAAACCAGTAGTTGGCTTCTTCTAGGAATGAAGAAAGTGGTTTAGAGAGGTGACGTGAGGTAGCACAGAAAGGGGAAAATAAAAAAGACCAGAGGAAGGAGGTGAGCGGAGGGGCAACTGAGATGACGATGAGGCTGACCAATGTCCTAACTTCATGAACAAAGCATGGTGTTTTAAATTCACTGATAACAGAGCACATGTGATCTGCCCTCTTCCTCTTTCTTTACCCCTTCAATCTAGCCTCCTGTCTCCCCAGAGGAGGCCATCTTCATACTCTAGATGGTAGGGAAAGATGAGATGCTCTTAGCCCCTATGGGTGACATTTCAGAAAAGATATTAAAGGTATTTTCCCCCTTTAACTTAAATCTCAGGGCTGTATAAGGATGCATAAGAAAAATCAAATCTGATTTATTCACTTTCCAGCTGATGGGTGCTTCCTTAGAAAATGAAACCAGTACCCTTTCTAAGATGGAGTGGATGCTCACAGTTGGTTCTGTGAGACTCCCCACTTGTGCCTTTCGGCTGATGCCTAGGCCCTCAAGCTGGAAAGGCCACACAATTACCACACAACCATTGATCAATAAAAAGAGAACAGGACCTCAGGCCCATTCATTGACCATCCATTTCTAATTTCCTTAGCTCTCTACTGCTAACTTTGCCCTTGCCCTTCTACCTGAGAGCTAAAACTTCTCCTCACCTATTTACCTGGTTCTGGGTTAGACCCTTTGGGCTAAGCAGATACTGGGTATACCCTCTGGCTAATCTAATCTTGCCTCCAGGACCTTGCTAACCTTTATGATCAATTCCTTAGGCTACCCCTTTCTAGAAAAATCGGTGACCTATGCAAGACAAAGATAGTCAACCCAATCTTTCATGGAGACATAGAGAAATAGATAGGGATGCCTATCAGCCCCAGGGCTGAATGTCCCTGCCTTTGGGACCAGAAGAACAGGACTGCTTTTGTCAGGACGACTCAAGTCTTAGCCTGGGAGAATTTGGAGCTGACTCTTGTACTTGGCTAAATGAACATATTTCCTCCACCAACAAGTTCACTCTTGCAATCTTGTAATCCTCTGGCCTTGGACGTGTAAGTGAGAGTGGGAGTCCTGTCTCTGGTGTGTATCACCTAAATGTATTCCATTATGGCATTTGATCTTTCTATTGCGTTAACTGCCTGCAGTGGCTCATTTCAGGGGAGTATTGAATCTGTGTGGTAATCTGCATCCCATTGAAATCTCAAAGAAGTCAACAAGTCAATCTGTGATTTTAACATGACTAACTCCATGCCTTGGTCTAATCCATCAATTAAGGAGATTTTTTTCCAAAAAATTTCATTCTTTTGTTTGTGATCAGACACCTTGTTTCTAAAATTATTTTTAAATTAATTTTTTTTTAGTTGGAGCTTACTTAGAAGACACAATATATTAAAGGAACTCAGATTTTTTTAAACAGATAATTATCAAAATGGTTGGATTTTATTGCTTAAATTTCAACTTCTCTTATACAGTTTCTGTTACAAAGTATCATTCACTTTCATAATTTTCCCATAACATGGAAAATTAATAACAGCATTGTCTTATGTAGGAATCCCTAGAAGAAGGGCCTGATTCAGAGTTTCCTATGTTAAATGGTTTAATGCATGGAACACCCTCAGGAGGAGGGTCAAAGAAGCAAGAGGGACAAGGGAAGGCTTTAGGCAAGGATAGGGCATCAGCTGGAGTCCACTTTAGACAATCCCTCTGAGCGCACCCACTTTGAGACAAGAGACCTGCCTTGTACATGACTGTCACCCAGTCATTGACCATGGCTGCCCCAGGAAGGAATAGGGATGTGGCATCACCCCAAGGAGGATCCCATTTGACTGAGGACAAATCTCTGGGGGGAAAATGACGTCTGTAAGTCATTAGCAGCCAAAGCTCAAGGCACAGCTTGGTAAATGAGATCTGAACAAGGCACCCTCAGTACCCAGGACATCTATAAACATATTTTAATGCTTCAAGATGCAGTACAAAGGCATCCTTCACAAGAAGTGAGTTTAAAATGCAGAGCGACCTTGGCACTGGTGTGCCTATAACACTGCATTACCATCATAATGAGTCACATAGCATGAGAAGTACTATATTACACTGAGGCCTGGACCTTTCTGCTGTGCTCTTGTTTGACCATTAGTTTAATTGTTTCCTGACCTATTCTGACCACATCCCATTGCTGAAGCCACTAACCAAAACTTGAGTGGAACAAAATATTTATACACACGTATAAACATAAAGATACAAAACTAAAAAAAAAAAAAAAAAAGCAGCAGTGTTTGCTCACCAGTGATGTTGTCTCTTGGTGAGAGAGGCCAGAGAATGGGGTTTTTTTTTAAAAGTAAATGTCAAATCTGTGTATTCTCAGAATGGAAATTAAACCTCTGAGTTCATTTAACTGGACAATTGTTTTAGGGGCGATATAGGTTGTAAATAAAGCACAAGTGCTCTCTAAACCCTTTTTAAAAATATTTCAAACAGAAACTCTCCTTTGAGCTACAGTATGCCTCCATACTGAATTGCAGTGCTCAGAACCCATTGGTTTGTCCCCTGGGATTATTAATCTCTGCCTTCTATACTTTATGGCTGATTTGTCTCCTTGAAGATAAAAACCCAATGCAGTGCCCTATCCAGCAGGGGCAAATAGTCTCTTTCTGTTCTTTGCTCATTTGGGCCCCCTTTAAGAGAATATAACTGAAACAGTCTCAGAAAGGAGATGGTGACTCTTCCAGATAAGGAATGTTTGCAGGGGGTGGCAATGATTAGTCTGGAAAAGGCTTGGGAGAGCATGATCATTGTCTTCAAACAGCTGAGGAGATCTCCTCTGGAAGAGAGTTTAAACTTACTTGGGGTGCACAGTAACAGATGGCAGAGTTCAGAGCCTAAAGGTACAGCGGCTCAACGCAACTCCAGAAGTAGGCTTGTGGATTTAGGAAGAGAAAAAATGCATGTTCAACAACTTCTGTGTACTGTTCTCCCTTTGAGTATTCACAGCACACACAAGCATTTTGAAGTCTTGCCATTCTGAAAGCAACCCACCTGTTATCAGTGGAGAACAGAGGCAGTAATTTAATGGATTATAACTAAGGAATTCTCCCTCCTAACATCTACATTTCCCTGCTATAGAACACTGTTTGACACGTATCTCTTTAATGTACACAATTCCAAGGGATTTTTCTAACGCTTGCAAAGGCAAATTCATTAGAGTTAGTAAGGCTGCAACATCAGGTCCAAGGTTCTCATAGAGATTATCAAATATGAATGATTGTATGACTTGTGCCCAGCACCTTTCAACTAAAAGAGCACCAAGTACTTTTAAAGCTGCATCTGCTATTATTTTTTTCAGAAAT